TTTTTTTTTTTTTTTTTTGAGCTGAGGTCTCACTCTATCTGTCAGTCTGGAGGGAAGTGGCTCAATCACAGCTCACTACAGCCTCGACCTTCTGGGCTCAGACAATCCTTCCACCTCCACCTCCTAACTTAGCTGGGGCTATAGGTGCATGCTACCACGCCCAGCTAATTTTGTATAGAGATGGAGTCTTACTATGTTGCCTAGGCTGGTCTCAAACTCCCCGGGAAGCTATTAATTCTTTAACTAACTCCAACAAGCAACTCACTCAACTTCCTAGTATTCAAGTTTCTAAGACATTTTTCAAACAGTTAGATTTGCCCTGCTTCTAAAACAACCCAGCACAATAGCAGAGATCAGTAAACTATTTTCCCTCTCATTTGCAAAATGGAAAGTGGGGAGAGGGAGGCAAATGTTTCCAGGAAGGAACCCACTACAGCAGACAGCACTTCCTCTGCAATTTTAGGAAGTTGTGTAGGAGTCTCCTGGTTTCTTATGAGTTTGAGGAGTCACTGCAAACCCTGGGAAAGCCACCCCCTGCCACCCTGCCAATGTTCATCTACTTCTGAGAAGACAAAAGGAGACCAGGGAGTGGATAGTTGCTGGGGTGTCATCCTGCATCTTGCCAAGCACCACACAAACCTTTGCTGTTTTCAAAATGCCATCGTTGGTCACTGGGTCTGTGGTGACAACAAATTGGCCTTCATTATCATTCAATATGGTGTACACGGCCTCCCATGCTGGGGTATTGGGGGCATCGGCGTCAGTCACTTTGAGTGTGGTGATTAGGACATTAGCTTCATTCTCGGGCACCTGGCCCTCGTACTGCAGAGCAAAGGAAAAGATGGGTCATTTACAGCATGCTGATGCTGCTGGTGGAGTTGGGTGCCGGGGGTTAAAGAAATCCATTCTGAGCCAGGGTCCAAGGAGAAGATGTGATGAGGAGAGTCTGTCCATGGGCACAAGTCCCGAAGGAAGTGCCCATTCTGTTAGCAGACCTTCATTTTGTGTTGGTGGAGCAGCACAAAGTACTCCTGAGAGTCTTTTTCCATGAGTACTTGAAATACTTTCCAAGGTCCTGGCTACCATACCCCTCAGCTTCTGGCCAGCCGCTGTCTATGATCTTGCTCAAGTGCAAGAAAGACACTGTGGTTAGCCACCCTTCACCTCTGCCTCCACATCCCATCTGCTCTTTACCAGTCATCTTATCAAATCAGTCTGCTCATTACGACCCTCTACTGCTGATTCCTATGCCGAAGCGACATTTCTACCTTCTTCTGTCCTACCTTTGCTTGACCTTCTTTCAACTCTTACTGGAAACGTCACACACTGTCTTTGGGAAGCCTTCTTGTACTCACATGCAGGATAGCAGGTCAGGATGGCAGCCTCTGCAAATGTCTACTAAATATGTCTTCTCTCCTTTTTCACTAACTATATTATTGGTGGTAGCCATGTGCTTAGCTAAAATACTATATTTCCTGGTTTCCCTTTCTTTGGAAACTGTCTAAGGAGTTGTAAAATTACCATGGTGGGATTGAAGACAGGAGCGTTATCGTTGATGTCGGTGATCGTGATCACAGCTGTTGCTGTTGTGCTTAAGCCCTCACCTTGGAGGTCCGCAGCTTGCACCAACAGGGTGTACGTGGGAATACTCTGCGGAGAGACCGGCACACCCAAGTCAGGGCCAAGACCACTAGCCACCTCAGGCCCAGTCCAGCCCAGCCTGCCACATAGAACCAAAATATTTTATAGTCTGCTTAAATGCCAGCCTGCCTGTCTTCTAGGAACAGAACCTGTGGGCAGAGGTTTAGACGCAAATCTCGGCCCATCACCACACTGACTGAAAACAGGCCTCAGCAGAGTTTTGCATTGCTGGTGGGATTTAGCTAATATTCATTTGCCTTCAACACCCTCTGGATCCTTCTGACCCCTGACCTCTCGGTCCAGCCCGGTGGTGACCACACTGATGACTCCTGTGTTCCGGTTGATGGTGAACATGCTCTTGTAAGGCAACTCAGGCTCTTGGCTGATGATGGTGTAAGCAATGGCGGCATTGTAGGTGTTCACGTCATCGTCTGCATCTGTGGCTGTGACCTGCATCACAGAGGTTCCTGGAAGTATTTGAGGAGAGGAAGATTTAGTCAAGCTGTATTTTGGGATTTGTTGGAACTCAATTTTCCCAACATTTTTTGGGTTAGGGGTGAGGAAAAGTATGGGGAATAAATAACCTTAAACAAACATTTTACAGGCTGAACACAGGTGGCAGAAGCCTGTAATCCCAGCACTTTGGGAGGCAGAGGCGAGAGGATTGCCTGAGTTCAGGGGTTTGAGACCAATCTGGGAAACTTGGTGAGACCTTGTCTATACAATAAATAAATTTTTAAAAATTGGCTGGGCATTGTAGCATGAGCCTGTAGTTCAGAAGAATTCAGACAGATCACCTGAGCCCAGTAGGTAGAGGTTGTGGTGGCCGCATGCGTTCCCCTGCACTCTAGCCTGGGCGACAGAGTGAGACTCCTACTCAAACAAATAAATAAATAAAACATTTTGGGGGGAGGGAGATGGGATTAACAGTAGCAAATATCTGTCTGGGAACGGGGAAACACCTCATATCAACAGGGTGCCTGAATGAAACGTAATTGTATACCTAACCCTTAACTATACCCCACAACATCATAACAAAAAAAAAAATTAAAAATAAATAAATAAACATTTTACTGTGTTTCACATTGAGTGAACGGCACGGAAAATTTTTTTATGTTCTAGAATTTTCTGCAATTTGTTTCTCAGCCATAGCTTCTTTTTTTTGAGTTGGAGTCTCACCCTGTCGTCCAGGCTCACGGCCACTGCAGCCTCAACTTGCTGGGTTCAGGCTATCCTTCCACCTCAGCCTTCCAAGAAGCTGGAACTACAGGCACACACTACCATGCCAGGCTAATTTTTTTTTTAAACATTATTATTACTGTAGAGATGAGGTCTCACCAAGTTGCCCAGGTTGGTCTCAAATCCTGGGCTCAGGCAATTCTCTCACCTCTGCCTCCCAAAGTGTTTGGATTAGCATGAGTCATTGTGCCTGGCAATTTTTTTTTTTTTTTTTTTTTTGAGTTAGAGTCTCACTCTGTCACCCAGGCCCCTGGGGGGCAGTGGCACACTTACAATCACCACAGCCTCAGCCTGCTTGGCTCAGGAGATCCTTCTACCCCAACCTTCCAAGTAGCTGGAACTACAGGTGCGTGCCACCATGCCCAGCTAATTCATTGATTGATTTTTTTTTTTTGAGTTGGCGTCTCACTCTGTTGCCTAGGCTGGAGTGTAGTGGCATGCTTACCGCCACCATAGCTTTGACCTGCTGGGCTCAGGTGATCCTTTCACCTCAGCCTTCTAAGAAATTGGACTTACAGGCACATACCATCATAGCCTGCTAATTTTTTTATTTATTGTAGAGACGAGGTCTTGCCAAGTTGCCCAGGTTGGTCTCGAACCCTGGGGTCAGGCAATCCTCTGGGCTCTGCCTCCCAAAGTGCTGGGATTATAGGCATGAGCCACTGCACTTGGCAATTTTTTGATTTGTTGTAGACAGAAGGTCTCACCAAGTAGCCCAGGCTGGTCTTGAACCCCTAGGTTCAGGTAGTCCTCCTGCCTTGGCCTCTGAAAGTGCTGGGATTTACAGGCATGAGTCACTGTACCCAGCAGCCACAGCTTCATTAAAGAGAGTGGTCATTTGAGATCACTGTCTTCAAGGTGAAAAAAAAACATTTATAGTAGAGTGTGGTGACTCATATCTGTAAGAGAGGATAGCCTGAGCCCACAGGTTTGAGATCAGTCTGGGCAACATGGCGAGACCTCGTCTCTACAATAAATCAAAAAATTAGCCAAGCATGGTGGCTCATGCCCGAGGTTCTAAGGCTGAGATGTAAGGATCACCTGATTCTAGCAAGTTGAGGCTGCAGTGGCCGTGAGTGTGCCACTACACTCCAGCCTGGGTGAAACAGTGAGACTCTGACTCAAAAAAAAAAAAAAGAAAGCATTTATAATATATGTGACTATCAAAGGACTAGTACCTAGAACATCAAAATATCTAAATAATGCTTAAGAAACAAAGAGCTTTAAAAACAAAAGAATAAACCTGTAATCCCGTGCCTTTGGGAGGCTGAGGTGAGTGGATTGCCTGAGCCCACAGGTTCGAGACCCGCCTGGGCAACTTGGCGAGACCTCATCTCTACAATAAATCAAAAATTAGCCGGTGTGGTAGCGTGCGCCTGTAGTTCCAGCTACTTGGAAGGCTGAGGTGAAAGGATCGCCGGAGCCCAGCAGGTCGAGGCTGTGGTAGCCGGGAACGGCCACTGCACTCCAGTCTGGGCGACAGAGTGAGACTCCAACTCAAAAAATAAAAATTAAAATTAAAAATAAAAATAAATAAAATAAAAACAAAAGGATAAACAGCAAAAATACAACTAACCCAGTAGGAAATAAAAAGAACCAAAGTCTAGAATAGGCAAGTCGTAAAGAAACTCAAATGGCCAGCAAACATGCCTAGTCCACTAGTAATCACAGAAATACAATTTTAAATCGCACTGAGATACAACTACACACTCAAATGATTGGCAAAAGCCAAAAGTCAAACAATTTCAGGATATATATTACTGGTGGGAGTGTAAGTTGGTTCAACCACTTTGGAAAACGGTTTGTTGTCATTTAGCAAAGCTGAATTCACACATGTCCAACAAATGAGCAATCCACTGTTATGGACCTTAGAGAAATTCTTGTGTATCTGCACCAAGAGGCATATTTAAGAATGTTCTTTGCGAGGGGGTGGGGCAGGATTGGCAGTAGTGGAAAACTGCCGGGGGTGGGGTGGGCGGGGGGGTGGGCAACCTCATCAACAAGAGTATCTGCATAATGAACATTTGTATATCTACCTGAATTATACCCACATCTTCAAAATTTAAAAAAAAACAAAAAAAAGAACCCAAGAATGTTCTGAGCCAGGCACAGTGGCTCACGCCTTTAATCCCAGCACTATGGGAGGCGGAGGTGAGAGGATTGCCTGAGCCCATGGGTCTGAGACCAGCCTGGGCAAACTTGGTAAGACCTCGTCTCTACAATAAATCAAAAAATTAGCCTAGCGTGGTGGTGCACACCTGTAGTTCCAGCTACTTGGAAGGCTGAGAGCACTGCTCATAATAGCAAGAAACCAAAACAATCCCAATTTCCATCAGCAGGGTGTAGATGAAATGTTTTACATAAATATTAAAATAGTCACACAAGGGAATACCATGCAACAATGAAATCAAATGGCCTACTCCTATGAACAACCACACAGAAGACTCGTAAGTATGCAAAGTTGAGTGAAAGAAATCAGACACAGAAATGTATGTAGAGTGTGAGCCTGTGTATATAAAGTATGAAAATAGGCAAGGTAGGATGGGCATGGTGGCTCACGCCTATAATCCCAGCACTTTGGGAGGCCAAGGTGACAGGATTGCCTGAGCCCACAGGTTTGAGAACAGCCTGGGCAACTTGGCAAGACCTCATCTCTACAAAATAAAAAATTGCCGGGCTCGGTGGCTCAGCCTGTAATCCCAGCACTTTGAGAGGCCGAGCTGAGTGGATGATGCATGAGGACTTTCTTGACCCTGCAGGTTCAAGACCCACCCAGGCAACTTAGCGAGACCTTGTCTCTACGATAAATAAAAAATTAGCTGGGCATGGTAGCACGCGCCTATAGTTCCGGCTACTTGGAAGGCTGAGGCGGGAGGATCGTCTGAGCCCAGCAGGTGGAGGCTGTGGTGGCCGGCAGCATGCCACTGCACTCCAGACTGGGTGGCAGAGTGAGACTCCAACTCAAAAACAAACAAACAAAAAAGGCAAAGCTAACAAGTTGCTATCCAGGGCAAATACACAAATTGTAATAGATAATGAAAAGAAAGGGAATGATTACCATGAAAGTCAGGGCATAGTTTCCTTAATGGAGGAAAGAAAGGAATGCGGTCAAGGAGGGTTGTTCAGGGGCTCAAGGTACTGGCCAGGATCTATTTTTTCATCAGGGAGGTTGTTCCTAAACTGTTTATACACTTTATGTACATAGAATGTTTTATACACACACATACACCCCCCAGTGCCGTCCAAATGAGTTCTGACCATATGAAGGGTCAACTTCAGAGACCTGACCCCAAGCTCTAGCCTATGGGGTTAGACACTTTGGAGTTCAAATAATCTAAAAGTCTTTCTGAGTATTCAGTTCCTTGTCACTGGACATACCTGGCAGAGCACCTTCCATGACAGATCCCTCAAAGATCTCCTGGGTGAACTGAGGCTTGTTGTCATTCTGATCTGTCACCGTGATCACAATCTCCATTGGATCCTCAATCGCATTTCCGTTCGATGACACAGCATGAGAGAAGAGCTGAAAGAGCCAAGTGAGGGTGACTTGAACCCTGATGAGAAAGTAGGGGCGGGAGAAGAGGCCTGGCCAGAGCAGTGTGGGCTCTACCTGACTTTCTCTCCTTCCCATTCTCTGAGATTCCCAGAGGAGAACTTTCCTCACACTTGTGCTGCTGCTACTTGAATGACATCCTAACAAGGGAAGTCCTACAGGCTAGAGGATATGCCTACCAGGTCAGACCTCCTGTTTCCCACATGAGAACTGGGGCATCAGGCCTGGAGATAAAGATGGAGGCCTAAAAACTACGACTTACTCCAAGCAGGGTGAAATTTGATGTGGCCACTTGAGTCTAACATTTCCCCCCTGATATTTCTGAATTTGGCGTTAAAACATGCCTCCTGGTTTCCTTAAGCTCATGCTACTACCAACTCACAGAAATGGGTTTTGCCCCCCTATACAATCAATGTCCACTCCTTTGGGTCAGGGACTACCATTCTCAAGAGCAGGTTGGCATCTTAGGTCTAAACTTGTACATGATGCATGAGGACTTTCTTCCCTTTTTTTTCCTAACAAGGAAAAAATAAACAACCCCAAATTGTCCCGGGTTCTCCTGTCATTTCTCCTTAGCAACAGGTTAAGAGGTGTCAAGTTAAGCTTCGCACATGTCCAGAGCCTCTGATCTGAGGACCCAACAGGGCTGACCTAGAAATTCTGCATGGATGCCCCATTGTCAACAAGTTTCTAAGAGATACTCACAATGTACTTGGCAATTTGTTCTCTATCCAGAGGCTCCGTCACTTTCAGCCATCCTGTTTCTCTTTCAATAATAAACACACCAACAGGAGGTGTATCTGCTCCTTGGCCAGTGATGCTATAGAAAACTTTGGTTTCTTTATCCCTGTTGGATTTGATCTGAAGACAAAAAGAAAGAAACAGAATTGGCAAGGAAGAACACCAACATGGGTCTTTTCCTCTTCTCTCCTTGGTCTTTTTCTGCTAAATCCTTCCCAGAGAAATAGAGAACTTCTTTGTCTACCTGAACCAGGTTTTTGGGAAATGGGCCCTTTTCATTTTCTGGACAGCTGATGGGAGGAATAACCCAGTCTCTCTTCTGTCTTCTGAGACCATGGTGGGAGATAGGAAATGTGAGCACTTCCAAGTGGGTTCCAGAAGCAGAGTCCTAGATGGAAAGGAGATGAGAAACAAAATGAGATCATTCAGGAGACATACTACAGATCTAACAGTCCGACCTACCCAGTCTGCATCCCCATCTTTCTGAGGCAGTGTATGGTTTTATCTTAATGACACATTATCTTATGAATGACAAATTATATACGATCCTCCAGAATGAATGACCAAAACAAAAACCAATAAACTCTTTTGCCATATAATAAAGACTATGTTCTCTTTTTATCCTTTCTATTGTCCAGAGTTCTAGTAATCATTATACATACACAATTACAGGTTTAAGGACTTGATATTATAATTTACAAGTAATTTCAAGCCTGTATAATCTGTCATTTTTAATAATAACATGACACTCCAGTAATTTAATATCAGAGCTCATTCAACAACTGTATATTCAGGTGTTTTCAATTTCTTTCAATTGGAGTTAACAGTCAAAATGAGTATGTTTTGAAAACTGGTATTAAGAACTACTTTGTGATCAATACAAATCGCTTCATATCATTGTATCATTATATAGTTTCCATTTGTCCTAACAGAAGCTGTTGGGATGGGAGCCAAATATACCCTTTGAGACTTGTATTGAACAGCATTTATGTGCAATAAAGACAACTTTAGGCATATGCAGGGAAATAAGAGAGTTGAAGATGGAAGGAAAAAAGTCTGCCAAATTGTTTAAGTGTTTTAAAGTGATTGCTGGTAATATGGCAAAGTTTCCAGAGGAAAATTTCATCTCCTACTCACCACATAAGAATACTAGGTTAGTACTCAGCCAGGCACAGTGGCACACAACTTTAATCCTAGCACTCTGGAAGGCAGAGGGGAGAGATTGCCTGAGGTTCAGGGGTTCAGGACCAGCCTGAGCAACACGATGAGACCTTGTTTTTATAATAAATAGCCAAGCATGGTGGCACATGCCTGTTATTCCAGTCACTTAGAAGGCGGAGGTGCTGTGATCGTGAGCATGCCACTGCACTCCAGCCTGGGTGACAGAGTGAGACTCTGACTCAAAAAATAAAATAAAATAAAATAAAATACTAAGGCCAGGCTCGGTGGCTCAGCCTGTAATCCCAGTACTTTGGGAGGCCTAGGCGAGTGGATTGCCTGAGCCCACGGGTTCGAGACCCGCCAGGGCAACTTGGCGAGACCTCGTCTCTACAATAAATCAAAAACTATCCGGGTGTGGTAGCGCACGCCTGTAGTTCCAGTTACTTGGAAGACTGAGACGGAAGGATCACTGGAGCCCAGCATGTCGAGGCTGCGGTGGCTGGGAATGTGCCACTGCACTCCAGTCTGGGCGACAGAGTGAGACTCCATCTCAAAAAATAAAATAAAATAAAATACTCACAGTCATTAAATGCCACTTGCCAAATTTGACTTAAGCCCTACTAGCTGGTTTTTTTTTAGATTCAAGATGCATGAAATACTATATGAGATGCTAACAGGGATTATCACAGAACCAATCTTGCAAGCTGATCACATGTGCACACATGTGCAAACATACCCACACACAATCTGTCCTCTACAATCTTGCCTTTGTCTCCTAGAGAGGCAGCCCGGCCTGGACCAAGGGCAGGCTCTGGAGTCAGGCTGCCTCAGTATGAATCCTCACCACGGCACCTCTTTGTCCAGGGCAGATACTTAGCTTCTCTGTACCAGTTTCCTAAGTCTAAAATAGGGATAACATTAGTATGTACCTCACAGAATTCTCAAGAGGATTAAATGAGATGCTGGCATTGCATGCAAAGCACTGAGAATAGTGCCTGAAACATAGGAAGTGCTCAATAAATGATAATGATGAAAATGATGGTTGGACTGGTTAAAAAACACCCAAGTTATGGTTTTATTGAGATTTGACCCCAGTACAGGAACAAAGTACGAAACTGATCATCAACACGGCACTGTGAGCCTTAAAAGGGTCATCGTGCACAGCCATGGTAAATGAATGAGCATTGAGGAATAAACACAAATCCATTTGTCACAATGAGAAGGATGACAAAGAGCATGTCTTGCTGACATTAGGACTGCAGGATATTTTTAGAGAATGATACTAAGTAATGATGACACTGTGTTGGCAAAACATAACACTAACATCTTTCATGTGTAAAATTAAGGTGGAATCATGCCTCAACATACTGAACATGGGATTCATTCTAAAAAAAGATAGGATATCAGACTGAGAAAACTCACCCAAAGTGAAAGAAAGAACTAGAAGCTTGGACTTAGTCTTTTTTTTTTTTTTTTTTTTGAGTTGGAGTCTCACTCTGTCACCCAGGCTGGCATGCAGTGGCATGCTCCCAGCCATCGCAGCATTGACCTGATGGGCTCCGGCCATCCTTCCACCTCAATCTTCCAAGTAGCTTGAACTACAGGTGTACACAGCCGGCTAATTTTTGATTTATCATAGAGACAAGGTCTTACCAAGTTGCCCAGGTGGGTCTTGAACCCACAGACTCAGGCAATCCACTCGCTTTGGCCTCCCAAAGTGCTGGAATTATGGGCTGAGCCACCGAGCCCAGTCAGACTTTTTCTTATACAAATTAAGAGAGGTAAGATTGCCACCCCCTCTGAATACAGTAGTACCTGGTCCCATCAGGGTCCTTTGAACTAGAAACAAACCAAGATGAATCTCAAGCCAGTGGAAAAGGTCTGACACCTAACACTCAATATCTGTTCTTCCTTTCTGATTTAAAACAAAGCAAAACAAAAAACTCTCTCCCTCTCTAATATATATTTCAATTTTGTACTTAGCAATGTACCCACATAAAAGACTGTTTCCTCTACTATACTTGCAGCTAAGATATGGCCATGAGGCTTAGTTCTGGCCAATAGGATGTAAGCAGAAGTGTTGCTTGAAAATTCCACAAAGGTTTCTAAAAGGCAGACAGGTAACTAAGCAATACATTTTTGTGTGTTTTTTCCGTTCTTCTATCACTTAGAATAAAGAAGTGATGACTGGAGCTCTAGTAGCCATCTTGGATCATGAGGTATCCTTGAGGATGGAAGCCATGTGCTGAAGTTGGCAGAGCAGAAGGGAAGGAGGAAACCTGGCTTACCCTTACATTTCCTTAGCTTGAAATAATATTTTGCAAAAACCACTTTAATTTTGGGTTTTAGAAAAGATGTACTTAAACCCAATCCTGATACAGCAGACATGAAGATAGAGTACCGGGGAAGAAAAGTTGAAAAACAAGCTCAAAACTTTCTCTTGGTCATAAGAGGCTTCTCACACACAGTTGCCCAGTGTGAGCTGAACTTATGTGAGTGAATGACGGGGTCCACTGGAGACTTGAGTCTACAGTACTAAGTTCCACATTTTCCTGGTTGGTCTAATTACACCAGGGAGAAAAATCAGGTCTCTCAGGAGGACTAGACCTGTAAGTTCTAATCAAAAGAGTGTAGAGTTGCTTTTTAAAATGACAGCCAGGCCGGGCTCAGTGGCTCAGCCTGTAATCCCAGTACTTTGGGAGGCCAAGGTGAGTAGACTGCCTGAGCCTATGGGTTCGAGACCAGCCTGGGCAACTTGGCGAAATCTCATCTCTACAATAAAAATAAATAAAATAAAATAAGATAAGATAAAATGACAGCTGGGCACAGTGGCTCATATTTGCAATCCTAGCACTTTGGGAGACTGAGGTGAGAGGAATGCCGGAGTCCACGGGTTTGAGACCAGCCCAGGTAACTTGGCAAGACTTTGTCTCTACAATCTCCAAAAATTAGCCTGGCATAGTGGTGCACACCTGCCATGGTGGTCCAGCTACTTGGAAGGTTGAGGCAGAAGGACTGCCTGAGTCCAGCAGGTTGAGGCTGCAGTAGCTGTAAGCATGCCACTGCACTCCAGCCTGGGCAACACAGTGAGACTCTGACCAAAAAAAAAAAAAAAAAAAGGGCAGATAGATTATGTAGGCTTGTGATAACTTGTAAATTACAAGTTCCAAGAATCTCAAGAGCTTTTGGGGAGAAAACCAGGAGCCAACATTAAAGGCCTTGGCACTTTAACACATTCCACGTTTCCAAGGCACTAAGCAGGACACAACCAGAAGGTCTCCCTAGAGAGACATTCTGGTAGGGCACCGTGGCAGCAGTTTAGAAATTGGCAACGGTGTTTGGCTTTGGGTAACAATTCACAGAAACATTCTTTTCAAAAACCTAGGCAGGCATGCGTCCTTCCGTTCATGGCCGATCCATTTGTCCATTCAATCTTTACTGGGGTCAGTATGAGCCAGACCTAAAGCCAGGCTCAGCAAATACAGTGGGGAAAGATCTGACAGAGGTTCCCGTCCAGCGGGCAAAAGTGTCCCACTGGTACTTCGACTTTTTTGCCAAGACCCTTCCCACTGGATGCACAAAGAACACGACGACTAGAAAATTGACCTATTGCTTAATCTTCCTCTAGGAGGAGAGTGAGCACAACTGACAATTCCTGAGTACTAAACATAGGCCTTATCTATTTCTAGCATTTCATATGCTTTTGTTTTTGTTCTGAGTGGGGATCTCACTCTGTCACTCAGGCTGGAGTGCGGTGGCACAATCAGGGCAAAGTTTCCACCTCCTGGGCTCAGGTGATCCTTCTGCCTCAGCCTCCTGAATACAGGTGGGACTACAGGTGAGTGCCACCATGCCTGGCTAATTTTATTGATTTTTTGTGTGTGTGGAAGAAAGGTCTCACTACGCTGGCCAGGCTGGTCTTGAACTCCTGGCCTCAAGCAATCCTTTGACCTTGATCTTCCAAAGTGCGAGGATGATAGGCATAGGCTTCCATACCTGACCCCGTTTCACATGTATTAATTCACTCAGTCCTCGCTATTATCCCCATTTCACAGGTAAGGAAGTTTGGGCATAGACAGGTCAAGCAACACCTCCAAAGGCTATTCAGTTGGCAAATGGCAGGGCTGGGGTCTAATGTTGGACAGATCTCAGGCCTTAACCCAGTCTTCCACATGCCTGTTCCCCAGAGCACAACAAGGACCCCAAACCCTTAAAGAATTAGTTAGTCAGATCAATAGTTCTCAACTGGCAGCCACTGGCAGTATGTGGAAACGTTCTTTTTATTTATTTTATCATTTTATTTTTAGAGACAGGGTTTTGTTCTGTCACTCAGATTGGAGTACAGTGGCGTAATCATAGGTCACTGCAGCTTCAGACTCCTGGGCTCAAGCAATCCTCCTGCCTCAGTTTCCCAAGAAGCTAGGACTATAGGCATGTCCAGCTTGTGTGTATATGTAGAGATGGAGTCTTGTATATTGCCCATGTTAGTCTTAAACTCCTGGTCTCAAGTGATCCTCCTCCTGCCTTGGTCTCCCAAAGTACTGGGATTATAGGAGTGAGCCACTGCATCCAGACTATGTAGAGATATTTTTGGTTGTCACAACTGGAAGTGGAGGTGCTACTGGCGTCTTGTGAGTTAAGGCCAGGAATGCTGCTGACCATCTGACAAACCCCACAACAAAAAAAGTATCCAGCCCCAAACGTCAATGGTGTCAAGGCTGAATATTAGTCAGGAGACTAAAGTAATAGTGAACTTCTAAGAAACATGCCTATGTACCTGATGGTGGTGGTGGGGGTGGTGTCCCACAGCCTTAAGCGTGACTTTGGTGGAAAATTTTCTGCGGGTGGAATCCCAGGCATGGATAAGAAAACTGGTCTCTGAATTGTGAAGCTGTAGAGGCCGTTTGACTGTAATCGCACCGTCTGTGCCCACTTTGAATCGAGAGTCAGCAGAATAATAGGCCGTCCTGGGTCGACCAGTGCATCCTTCAAAAGTCACTGCAGGGCAGAAATCACAGTGATTAGGAAATTGGGCAGATGAACAACAACTCCTTCTCCATAGAGTGAACTGGATTCGCCCCTCAAAAGCCTCACACAAAACCAAGCACAAGCAGAACAAGCCATTACCTGGTAGCAAAACAACAGAAACTTCCCAAGACGTTGTTATCACCACTGTATTCTACACAATTACAGGATGACTGTGCATTGCGGTGACTTTTTTCCCCATTCGCTTGTCAACTGAAAGCAGCATCTTGTCTAGAAAATAACTTCTCTTTCCTAATAATAACAAGAAAAGGGGCATCTCCTTCAGATGACTCGTGCCAGTATGACACAGACCGGTAAATTAACTGACAGGATATGCATTGGGTCCAAAAGATAGAGGCCAAGGATAGTCTACATTTAAAACAATTTTTTTAGCTGGTGTCGGTGGCTCAGCCTGTAATCCCGCGCTTTGGGAGGCCGAGGTGAGTGGATTGCCTGAGCCCGCGGGTTCGAGACCCACCTGGGCAACTTGGTGAGACCTCAACTCTACAATAAATCAAAAAATTAGCCGGGCATGGTAGCGCACACCTGTAGTTCCAGCTACTTGGAAGGCTGAGGCGGAAGGATTGCCGGGGCCCAGCAGGTCGAGGCTGTGGTGGTAGCCAGGAGCAGCCACTGCACGCTAGTCTGGGTGACAGAGACTCCAATTCAAAAAAAAAAAAGAGGGTGATAGAAGACAAACAGGGGGGATGTTTGTTGAAAGTGTAACTTTTTTTGAGTTGGAGTCTCTGTTGCCCAGACTGGAGTGCAGTGGCACGATCACAGGCATCACAACCTCGACCTGCTGGGCTCAGGCAATCCTTCTGCCTCAGTCTTCCAAGTAGCTGGAACCACAGGCACATGCCACCATGCCCTGCTAATTCTGGATTATTGTAAAGATGAGGTCTCACCATGTTACCCAGGCTGGTCTCAGACCCCTGGGGCTCAGATAATCCTCTCACCTCTGCCTCCCAAAGTGCTGGGATTACAGTTGTGAGCCACTGTACCCAGTGAAGGTATAACTCATACTGGATGGTGCAGGCAGGTCTTTCTGAGGTAGAGGCATCTAAGTTGGGACCTGAGGGAGCCTGTCTTGCAGAACTCTGACTTCCAGAGCCCTCTAGGCAGAGGGAACAGTTAATGAGATAATTCATTCTAGGAAACTCTCCACTTGGCCTGTTTTTCTCCCTTTCAAATAATTGTCCAATGGAATTTCTACTTCATCCAAGTGCTCTTTTATAAAAAATTCCTGCTGTTATGCCTATTTTACAAGGCTAGACATCTCAACATTCATAAAGATCAGGTTTCTGCCAGAAAACCCTGGAGGCATCTGTGAAGCCTGAGCAGCAGTTTTCATTTCTTCCACCAGGGGCCTCCCTTGCAAACATTTCTGGTGTCATCAGCCCTATTCTTGCCTGAGAATATGAAATGGTGTTTGGTGGTTCAAGCCTGTAATCCCAGCACTTTGGGAGGCCAAAGTGAGAGGATTGCCTGAGCCCGCAGGTTCAAGACCAGCCCGGGCAACATGGTGAGACCTTGTCTCTACAGTAAATCAAAAATTAGCTGGGCGTGGTAGCACTCACCTGTAGCTCCTCCTACTTGGAAGGCTGAGGCGGAAGGATCGGCTGAGGCGGAAGGATCGCCTGAGCCCAGCAGGCCGAGACTGCGGTGGTTGGGGGCATGCCACTGCACTCCAGCCTGGGCGACAGAGTGAGAGATTCCAACTCAAAAAAATAAAATACAATAATAAATAAAAGCCGGGCTCGGTGGCTCAGCCTGTAATCCCTCGCCTTTGGGAGGCTGAGGTGAATGGATTGCCTGAGCCCACGGGTTCAAGACCCGCCTGGGTAGCGAGACCTCATCTCTACAATAAATTAAAAAAACAGCCGGGCATGGTCGCGCATGCCTGTAATTCCGACTACTCGGAAGGCTGAGGCGGAAGGATCGCTGGAGCCCAGCAGGTCGAGGCTGCAGTGACCGGGAGCAGCCACTACACTCAAGTCTGGGCGACAGAGTCAGACTCTAACTCAAAAAATAAAATAAAATAAAATAAAAATAATAAATAAATAAATAAATAAATAAACAAAATCATATTTGGGGGACTATAGGGTAGGTGCTACCGATTATCTCCATTTAGAAGATGGAAACTGAGGCCCAGAGAAGTTTAGAAATTTATCAGATATCCCCTAACTAGTAAACAGCAGAGCTTGGACAGGTCCTTAACACGGGTTACTTAGTCTCTAGGTTGGCTTGCTCTTTATCTGGAAAGACCCTATTAACCTTTGGTTTTGCAGTGGTAAATTCATGGCTGACTGCAGCTCAGGAAATCCTTCCACCTCAGCCTCCAGAGTAGCTGGGACTACAGGTACAACCATACCTGGCTGATTTTTTGACTTTTTGTAGAGAGGAGGTTTTGCTATGCTGCCCAGGCTGGTCTCAAATTCCTGGGCTCAAGTAATCCCCTCGGCTTGGCCTCCCTATGTGCTGGGATTGCAGGGATGAGCCACCACACTGCACCAGGCAACCTGGGCTATTTTTAAAGGATTCTGCCTCCAAGTTAGGATTCCAAGGATGTTAGATTTGAGGCCATCCCATACCTGGGAGTCTGCTACCTGGCAAATAAGCAAAGCAACAAAACCTAGAAGAGTTGGTTCACAGGAAGGGAACTGGGTCCTTCAAATAATCACTCTCCTCATCCTCTCACCCCCTCTCACCCCCTAGGCTGGACCTACCACTCATTTTCCAATCTTGGAGGGATGGGGTGGGGTGAGTAGGGAGTAGCTGTACTAAGTGATAGGAAGACAGAGACAAGGAAAAAAGGTTGGTCTCAGGGTCTGTGACTGGATTATAAACCCAGATTCTGCCATGTTCTTGCTGGGTGGCCTTAGCAAATTGCTGAATCTCTGTGGATCTCGAGTTTCTCTACCATGACATAAAGGATACCACCACTGGTTGAGGCTGTCTCTTCAGGGTGAAGATTAGCCAAGACAGTGAATGTGATCACATTTTCTAAGCTACAGAGCAAGGCAAGTAGAAGAGATGACCATTCTTTCTGTGCATTTGGGCAGACGAGCTGGAAGTATTTGCTGAATGAACAGATGAGCTACCAACGCAAGAAGCAAGAAACACCAGGTCCTTAAAGGCTAGGCAGAAACCATCCTTTTAAGTCTAAAAGAAGATTTTTTTTTCAAACTAGTAAAATAAGATGCTTCTCAAAGAACCCTTTCCTGCCTCCAGCAGAAGCAATGGGGCAACTGGCCGTCCTGGTGGGCTTGTCATGTAAGTAAGGAACAAGAGCTGCCCTGAATTCTTTTCTCTAGCCATCCCAAATCTGGGCAGTGAAAGTTGAGACAAACATGATTGGACTTGCCAAGGGTGGTGGCCCTAGAAAATGAAAATGGTTTGCAAATAACTGCACGCAAGGCACTTAACCTGCTTTGGGGCATCTCTCCTTAACGGTGGTTAAGCCTAGCCCTTTGAGAAGTGACAGGGTAAGTATGACAGGGAGCCTCAACCTGAATTTCCAGGTGCTCATTAAGACTCATTACCCTTCCGTGCAACCTGATCCTCTGGGCTGATAAATTGGAAATTACAGGAAGACTGAGGGGCTCCGGCTCCAGGAAGGCTCTGGGAAGCTCACTTCAGCCCTGGCAAGAGCTGGCCTGTCTCTGGGTCACAGCGACCTCTGATCTCTGACACTGGCAAGCAAGAGGAAAGAAGAATGGCAAAGTGTTGAAACAGGAGGATCGGGACAAAAGAATTGGGTACATGTGAACATTTCCATCTTAAACAGTTAACAGAAATAAGGCCAGCAAAGGGTCTAAGTATCCTTTAAGTCAGCATGCCTACCTCTCGCAAACTTGTTAGTCACTTGGTCTAAAAACCAAATTCCAATAACAAGAGCCAAGACTTCACTGATCATCTCTAAATGGAAAATCTTTTCACCACAAATTATATCATCACCATCATCAAAAACTACAGCCTCAACTAATAGCTTCAACTACCCTTTATCAACTTTTTTTTTTTTTTTTTTTTGAGTTGGGATCTCACTCTGTCACCTAAGCTGGAGTGGCACGATCACAGCTTGCTGCAGCTTCAACCTCCTGGGCTCAGGCAATCCTTCTGCCTCAGTCTCCCAAGTAGCTGGGACTATAGGCATGCACCAATATGCCCGGCTAATTTTTTTTTGTTTTTGAAGAGACAAGGTCTTGCTATGTTGCCCAGGGTGGTCTTGAACTCAAGCAATCCCCCAGCCTCAGCCTCCCAAAGTGCTGGGATTACAGGCGTATTTTAAACATGTGTAGAATGCTGATTAATGTGTCAAGTTCTATTTTAAACAGCTTACAAATATTAACTCATTTAATTCCCAGATTCTAAAAGGTTGGTACTCTCATTGTTCCCTCTTTACAGAAGGAGAAACTGAAGCAGCTAGTAAGCATGTGGCAGAACTGTGAGTCAAACCCAGGCAGTCTGAGAGTTATGCTCCTAACCAGGCTTTGTGCCTCTCTCTACAAGCTAGGTTCTTGCTCTCTGCTCTTTGTGTCTAATTTTCGGATTTAATTCCCACCCCGCCCTATGGGGTAGGCATCAGTATTCCTGTTTTCTTCTCCCTAAATTATACACCGTTGAGTGGTGGGGCTGGGCTGTCTCACTCCAAAGTGAGAGATTTTCACCACTGTTTCTCATATGCAAAGTAGGGATATGCTTTCCAGCAATAAGAAAAAGGGACACTTATTAAGAAAAAACAAAGCCAGCTCCAACAACAGAAAGGCATTCCAGAACAGTACAGAATTCAACACACCAGGAGAGTAATAATAACTGGGGTAGGAAATTAGCACTGCTGTAGTTCCAGCTACTTGGAAGGCTGAGGCAGAAGGATCACCCGAGCCCAGCAGGTCGAGGCTGCAGTGGCTGTGAGTATGCCACTGCATTCCAGCCTGGGCAATAGAGTGAGGCTCTGATTCAAAAAATATTAA